GTTGAATGTCACCAGAGATCCTGAACTCTTCTCCATCGTAGATTCAAGAAGTGCTGAAAAAGCAGCTTTTGCACCCCTATATATGCCTTTAACAAAGACTTTGAAGTGGCTTAATCAGGAGACAAGTTCTGCTTAGAAGGATGTTTTCTGGCAAAACAAAAATGAAGTCTATTTTAAAAATTTCCCTATTAATGGGACCTCACAAACTGGAAAGAACCCAACCCTGTTAATATATGATGTTAGTTCTATGTAGAATTTGATTGTGTCAATCAATAGGGTTGTATTACTCTTCGGACCAAATTCAATCTTTCAAGCTTATTGCGGGTTGCTGGGTTCCTCTCCCCTTGGGTTTAGATGTATTGCACATGAAAATTTTTTTTTTCCAGAAAATGCCTGAGCGTTTTATACTCGAGCGCCTCAGTATTGTGTGCAATACCTGAGATCCGTGTAACAAATTTTTTTCCCTTCAACGCCCTGACGCTGCATAAATTTCTTGGAGAAAAATCAAGAGCGGAAGTGCTGCGGCGCTTGAGACTCAATGCAGCAGCCTTGCCAGGGAGCGGCGCCCAAACCTTGATACATGATTTCCAACACCATACGTTCAATCCAACAATGTCAAACCTGCTCAAGAATTGATCAGTTGGAGTTATCATCTCAAAAGAACTCCATTCCAATAACAAGAAACAGTTAGTACTGTTGACCACTGTAACAAGATAACCCAAAAAAAAAAGGGCATGAATCGTTACCTGTGCTTGAGCCCATCCCGAACCCCTGCCGGTATCCTGCTTAACTCAAGTTAAAATCCGGTCGCAGATTTGCCATTCGGCGCCGTCTGAAAGCACGTAGTTAAATGCCGAGCGAACGAAGCCTTCGGTTTCTCCTCTTTCACCAACGTGAGAACTCTCCAGCCATTCGCAGCCCCCTCGTCTATTCCGATCTTCTCCATAGCCTACTGAAGTAGCTGGAGTTACGACTGTTAAGAGCAGATACTTATATTACTTCTGTTGGCCA